CAATCTCATACTAGACTTCTCCCAACTCCCAGTAAACTGTGAAGATTACTGTGAATGATATATGAAAATTCCTCACTCACCACTATCACTTTGTCTGTTATTGACCTATTTCTTGCTTCTGATTGCATTGAAATTTGGGGTACACGTGACATTAATCTTCCCAGAAGAAGGATGCTGGAACAAATGATATCTTCACGTCATTTATAGTTGTATAAATTTAAATTTTAATAACCTTCATCGTCTACTTTCCTTTGTTAAAAAATGGGTAGGGATTAAATTGTGGCTTGACAGGACTATCAAGAGTCGTAGTATGTCTGTTTATTCAGTAAAGATGGCATTTTGTCATAATCATGACATGGTGAATACATATGTCCTATGGAATCATAGCATATTATAGACTGTTTCCAGGCATCAAAGATCTTGAGTAGAGAAGAAATATGTTTTAGAAATAATATCCTAATTACTAATTTACAATGGAATAACTTCTAGTTTAAAGCATTTTTTGATATATATATAAATCCAACTATGCTTTCTTCACTATATCTTCTGTTGTGATATTTGTATCATAAGTATGCTTTTATAGAGTTCACAATGTTTTGAATAAATTATAATAATATATAAATGAAAAGCTTAACTTGATACTATATAGTAAATTCTACACTAATAATATATTTTTCAGTACCTAATGAGTTAGCTTTCTTATAGGATTATTGTATCAAATGTTTACTTGCTTTCTTTTCTTTTTTAAAAAGTGATCAGCCATGTTTATGGATGTATCTCTTCCTTAATGAGTTATGATTAGTATGACTAAAAAAAGTACAGCTGCATTTCTTTTCAATATAAATATCTTTCTGTGCAACTGCAATTCAAAATAATATTTTAAATAATGTAGTTCAGCATTAAATTTTTCTCAGATATAATTTATTATTTCCAATTATATGCTTTGTAGAACATTTAAAATGGAAAAGAAAAATTTAGAATACTAAGACCACTTAGATTGCTTCATAGCTTTTATTTAGTCAATATAAGATCCAGTGGAATTAATAAATCTTTAATACTGGGATTTTTAATTAACCTCAACAATATGTATTCCACACTTGATCATCTTTGTATTCAGGGTCTCTTAAGATCTCTCTAACTTTAATACTCTATGAACCTCATAGTGTAATAGTGCTAAAGAGTTCACAACCAGTCAGCAGCTTTAAGGGAGCTAATTAAGTATTAAAAGCACACTGAAAGAAAAATGATAAAGTACTCAACATAGGCATATTATTACATTTTTATCCTATAGGTATACCTACATGGAAGGCCAAAATATAAGATTGCTTTTAAGCATGGAGTCAGAGCAAGGGGTTTGTGAGATAATCTTGATAGCTTCTGCCCATTAAGCCACTTCACCTTGGTTCATCCAATTCCTGATAGGAAGACCTGTACATTCCCCAAAATGAAATCCACAGGCAGGGGCATCTGCTCCTGGGTACATTGTTGGAGTTTTACTATAAAATACGGATACTGTTCTTCCTCCATTCCTTAACTTTGAAAAATATAGCAAATAAAAGCCACTAAAAGAATAACAATTTATTAATTACCTTCTGAAATTTAACATGGTGTATTTTGACTATGCTCACTAGATTTACCCTAGATTGACCAAAGAATTTTAAAAAATGACAATTTTTCATAGAATTATGAGAGACAAAACCTATTAGTTTTCTTATTTTGTTTTGTTCTGTTTTATTGTCTTTGTTGCAAACCTGAACCCTCTTCCTTTCATCATTGCAGCATAAAAGATGTAGGGGAACAGGAAAGTGATGCTGATAACACTTTCAGTAAGTGCAAGATGTATTTAAAATGAAGCAATCACACTTTTGCTAATCTTTCAACAAAACTCTCCTCTCTAATGGAATTGTAATAGATATGTATGGTGTGTGTGTGGGGGGGAGTGGGGCAGTGGATTGGGGAGGGGTGTTGTCACTTTGTGAGGGGTAAAAAGTATAATTATTGCACTATTTTGTACACCTGAAACTAATAAAAAAACAAAACATAACAAAAACAACAAACTCTCCTCTCTAACACTGCAGGAGTAGAGATTTCTCCTTAGATGATACGGATTTAAGTGCATGATGACTGTGCTACTTTGACTTTGATAGTGTAGTTTGAATTTGTTAATTCAAAGCTGCAAAATAGCCTTAAGCTGTGATTGCATTTAATCACATCTCATCAAAGTGAAATTTGCTTGTTGGTTAAATTACTTCATATTTCATACATAGAATGGTGATCATTATCTATTTATATACACCTTTAAACACCACTTTAAGTCCATTTCTGTTTAAATATTTTTTTGAAAGAAGACATAGTATGGTTACATACCAAGCCTAATTTGGGTATCTAGAAAATCTTGGGTTTTCAGAGTAGAATTAGTCATCTAAACCTCATCAACATCAGGTAAACATGAGTTTTGACCTCTCAGAATTGCCATGCAATAATTCTAACCAACAGAGATATGCTGTAGCTATTAAAAGAGAGAGAATACAAAGTCCAGGGAAGACATCTGACAGAGAAAATGGAGTTCATGTCCTTGATAAATGGTAGGCTATTATCTATATGATGTTGGGTAAGTTACTAATCCACTCTGGAATATAGTTTCTTTTAATATGTAAAATGTACATAAAAAACAGTAGCTACTGATCTTGTAAGGATCAATAATGAGATATATAGCAGGCATTTAAAAAATGTTACTTTCTGCTGCTACTATTTCCCTATGTTCTAGGCCAGTCTAGACCTTTTTTGACTGTGAGGGAACAAGGAACTGGATGTACGTCTGTTCAAAGTAAGGTATGCGTAGTTTATATATCTCAATTCCTCAACTTAGTAAATAAAGCATATATAATAGAAACAAAAAATTCACAAAATAGTATTTACATTATGTGCCATGCACTGTATATTTTCTTTCTTCTGAATTCTAGTTTATTTCATTATGAAGTAAATAGTGTTTGAAAAACGCTCCTCTAGGCCATCTTAAGTGAGCCTCATGCCTACAGTTAGAAGTAATAAAAATACCATGTTTCAGGATGAGAGGGAAACTTTCTATCACCACATTCTCTTCTCTGAGCTTAAGGCTACATTGGATATGAACATCATATGATATCAAATAATTGCTATTAGCGCTGAATCTGGAAGTAGCTTCTTTGGCAGGCAATCCAACAGGTATTAAGTGAAAATAGCAAGACTTGAAAATTCTCTCCAGAACTTAACAGCATGATGAATCAATCTTTAGTAAAATAATGTCTACTGAAAGAACCCTGATATATGAATGATAGTACTAGCAAATTGAAAACCATAAAATATAGCTGTGTGGTATCTAGTAACATCTGAGACCTGTTTTGAGATATTTTATAATCAGTAATTACATCTGAGGACGTAGGTTCCTTCCACACTCTATACAGTCTCATGAAGCATAGCAACATTGTGCATGTAGCCCTGATTACCTAGTGGTTTTATTATGTTCCTTTTTGGAATAAATGTTTAATTTAGGGAAAGATAAACATTTTGAGATCTTGATATATATAGTTTTAAAAACGTCTTCGTTTAGAATATATTACTTTGGGATGTATTCATCTATCTTCTGAAGAGGAGGGTGAAGGGAGATCCTTTGAAAACCTAACGATGTCACGATTATGTCACTCCTTGGCTCCAAACCTTCCTATTTCACTCGCAATAAAAGGCAAAGTCCTAGCATGGCCTACAATTTCTGGCCCCAATCACTTCTCCCCCACCTCACCTCCTCACCTGCACCTCTACCCCTTTACCTGCCCTCGACTCCTACTGCTCTCCAGCCACCTTCTCTCACCCAGCCACTATTTCCCCAACATGCTAGGTTCTGGTCTTTACTCCAGTGTCACCTCAGTGAGGCCTCCCCTAACCACCCTATTTAAAATTGCATCATATTCCTCTCCTTCCTCCAACACACATGCTTTCTAGCCTGTCCTTGCTTTACTTTTCTCCATAGCACTTATCACCACGAAGTGTACTATGTATTTACTATTGTACTTATTGTCTGTCTCCTGTTAGAATGTAAGCACCATAAGGTTAAGGGTATTTGTCAGTTTTTATGTACACTTGAACCCCCAGAGCCTAGAACAGTGTTTGGCACTCAGGAAATAAATATTTTTTGATGAATGAATGAATAAATCGTCGTAACTACTACTGACTGCATAATGGTGTTCAGTTCTTCAAAGTGTTTTTATTTACTCCACAGGTGGAAATTATTTACATGGTTATCAACTCTCTTGATCTTAGATATGCAATATACTGCAAAAAGAATATATATATTTGCTTTTAAAGTTTCTTAATTTCTATTCCTTCAGTTTTGGGGAAGCAAAACCAAAAAGGTGGCAATATTGTGATGTTAATGGCAGTGGTGATGGGGGGGGGGCAGGCGCGAGTGGATTTCTGTTTTTATGGAGGATGACATAAGAAAAAGTCTTACCATAATGCTCATCGAGTCCAAAGTATCCTACCAGTGGCTGCTTGATTCTTGGAGTCCAGACCTAGCCTGGTTTGGTAAACAGCTAAGAAAAAAAAACCCCATAGGATACGTTCTTGAACGTCCTCCTGATGCAACTGTGTTCACAGCTTTCCTGCCAACACCCAAGAAGAGCTTGACGGCCACCAGATTCGCACAACCTCTATTTGGTTCCTAGTCCCTGGGCTCCCCAAAAGAGCGCGGCTGGCTGGGGATCCAGCGTAGAGCCTTGGCCTCCTCACCTGGCGGCGGCCCGGGCCGCACGCCCACGCCGCGCACCTGCACCCCCACGCCGCGCATTCGGGTTGGTCCCAGCCGCGACAGGTGGGGCGCGGCGGAGCGCCACCTACACCGCCAGGAGGCAGCAGGGCCGCGGAGGAGGGTTCCAGCGGCTGCGGCGGCCGCGGCCAGAGCCCCAGAGGAAGGCGGGGAGGCGGGCCGTCCTCCCGCACGGGGGCGCTGCCACCTGCCCAGGGGAGGAGCCAGAGCGCGACCCGGTTTTTTGCGGCTCAGCCTCCCTGGAGACCAGAGAACCTACCCTGACCATGAAGGGTCGCAAAGGCATTGATAACCCGGCTTTCGTCAACTCCAGCCCAGACACCCCGCGCCGTTTCTCTGCATCGCCCTCTTCCGTCGAGGTCTCTGCCTCGCCCGCCGATACCCAGAGAGAGGATTCGCAGCCACACGAGCCTCAGGAGCCCCCAGAGTCAGGGGAGCCACCTCTGCCTGCAGCAACAGCCCCTGGCTCCCGAGAGCGATCCGGCCCAGAGTCGCTGCCGGAGTTTGAGGAGGGTCCCTGCGGGTGGGGGAACATCCAACCCCAGTGTCTCCAGCTCTGCAACACGCCGCAGGGGTTCCTGGTGCACTACTGCCTCTTGGCACTCACGCAAGGTAAGGTCCAGCGCCAACTGGTGAGGGCGTGTGCCGCGCGGAGGGCGAGGAGGGGCGCGGAGAGCCGGGGAGGAGACGGCCGGTGCGCGGGCAGCCAGGTGGTCCACGCGCCCTGCGAGGCAGTCCCGGCTGGGGACTTGCAAGTGCTCGCACCCACGTTAACCAGCTAGGTTAAGACTTCCACATTTTAGCTTCCCCTTTATCGCAAAGCTATTTAATACTTGTCATACAGGCTTTTCTCTTGGGTGCTCTACCTCAGTTTAGCAGATTCGATTCCTCCGAGGAAGATGGAAATTACTGGAGCCTTCCTGTGGGAACGGTTTGCCCCGGGGGAACCCGTTCTTCATGACAAAAGCATGCAGTTAGCTAAACTCCCGATTAAAGGGACATTTTTTTTTACACTGTATCTGGAACGGAAAGATTAATTCATATATTTGCAGGTGAGGTAGGGCGGTTCTTAAAGGAGAAACTTGTTGAATATGTGTAGCGTAGGTTGGATATACGCATTCGTGTTTTCTTAGTATATTTAGTTTGAGTTGGATGCGGGAACAAGTGGAGTCCAGTACGTTAGCAAAGGCTTCAGGCGTTATGGAAGGGCGAGGTCTTTCAAACACTTCAAGAATTATGCGGTATCTGTTTTGTTCAAGGATCTCTTTTACGTTCTCTTGGGAGTTGCTGATAAAGTGCAGGTTTATTTGCAATCTAAGTCTGGTTTGGAAGAGTGAGTGGTAGGGTAGAGAGAGAATGGCTTCTATGAAAGAAAGCATAGTGAAGGTAAAAGCTTGGGCGGTGTTCCATCTAACACGGGATGAAAAAAATGGGAAGTTACACTAACAGGACAAATTGAGGAGGGGTAGGGATTAAGGTGGAGCATCTTGAAGGACATGCTGAAGGTTCCTAGAATTTGATAGTATGTCGATATTTCTTCGTTACTTGAGTCTTACTTTTAAGATATTTTGTAAGAAGACAATCAAGGACTGATGAGAAGAAATGCATCCCAAGAAATATTTGGGGATGGGTTGGACATTGCTCTTTTCTAAGATTAATAGAAGAGGAAATCTAGATATATTCTTCCTGTTCTTATTCCCTCCCGCTCCTGTCTCAGAGGAGCTACGTGTCCCTTGCTTTGCACAAGTTTGGTGCCAAGTATTTATTTGTTGATTGCAAGTCAATTGCAGCTCTTCTGCTAAAGATAGTTGTGTGCTGAAGAGTTAGTTCTCTTTTGACTTTTCTTGTCCTTACCAAAGTTCATCTTCTCTCAGGGTCTTCATCTTAGTTGTCCAAAATCCATGATTGTGAAGCATCTCAGTGTCAAAGGAATGAAAAGTTCAAAGAAGGTGAACACAGTAAAAACTGACTTGCCTTCTGTTTTATGTTAAAACATCTTCTGGGAAAAAAATTTTTTTATAAGATTTTATTGGGGAATTGGGGGAGGAGAACAGCCAGGTTATTGTCCTTCAGTCTTAGTTGTGGCGGGTGCAGCTAGCTCAGCTCCAAGTCCAGTTGCCATCCGGCCTCCCATTGGCAGCTTGCGGCCCCTCAGCTCAAGGTGTGTGTTCAATCTTAGTTGCAGGTGGGCATATCCCACCATGTGATGAAGGAGTGGAACCAGAAACCTTGTTGTTAGGAGCGCTCGCTCTCACCACTGAACCATCCTGCCCCTGTTGGCAGCTCAGCCATAGCGCAGCTCGGCCGCAGCTCCCCGGCCCATGTGGGAATCGAACTGGTGACCCTATTGCTCAGAGCTCACGTTCTTAACCAAATGAGCCATTTGGCCAGCCCTGAAATTTTTATATTATCCAGAATACATAATTTTGTATTTGATAGAAAAGATTTTTTAAAACATTGTTATCAAATGTAATTGGCACTCTTAGAAAAATGTGTCAGGTGTAGCCTGGAGCAACATCTCCCCAGAGGTCCCCCACTTAAGAAGCATAATCTGAGATCAAAGTGACCCAATTAATTCTTGTTTCAGTTTGAGTTTGAATGAGTGAGACCATTATTACCATGTTTCTCAAACATGATCCTTGGGAAGACCATTTCCATGGTTAGTAATAGGTGTTTAATTGGGAAGGGAAAACTACAAAACCTGTCAAGTGAGTTTACTTATCCCAACAGTTTTGAGATAAATAGGATTTCTCTTAGTACTTAACTTTTTAAAGTGCTTCTTATCTTCAAGTATTTACCATAGGCATAGTATGCAGTATTTCATGGAATTTTTTTTTTTAAAGCAGAGTTCTTGGAACTTCTGTAGCATAAAATTCACATTGGAATTCATAGGTTTAAAGTGCTGTACTTCACAACAGTTTGCAAATTTACTTTTTCAGAGATTTGCCATAAAGGCAATGAGTTCTAATGTCTGACTTTTAATCAGTATGACAAGTGTCTTGGAAAGTTGATTTGGAGGATGAGGAAATTTTCATGTTAGGATTTTTAAGACTCCCGTTTTCTTGAAATACATTTCCAGTTATAGTCTTGATAAAGCAAAATTTAAAGAAATTGTGGAACTCTTGGCTCTATTAATGAATGAATGAAAACAATTCATGGTATCGTCTTATGTAAAGGGAATAACTAGTTAAAAGCTCTGTAATTTGATCAAATTTTTTTTTCAATGTAAATAATGTTTAAACTGTAAATTTAATCTATCTGAACAGAATTTTTGTTGTCAGTCAAAACTGAAGTTCCAACTTTTCCTTGTTTGCATTGTATAACTTCATTGTATCAATAGTTATAATAAGCAGATGAGTGTTTTTTTTTGTCAAAGAAAAATGAAGTTAGCTACAATTTAATATATGCTAAGTATAATTTTATCAAACACTTGAAAATTTACAAGTGTTCAATTTAAAAGCAAACTGCTTTATAAGGAACTATATTCGGGTTGCCTATATTTGAAACTTGGTCTTTTAAAATTGGTACGTTTAAAAATAGCAAAAGGGACCAGCAATCAAACTTTAGTACATTGTGTTAATAATCATAATCTATATGGTAAAGTTGTAGTAATGCACATCAATTTCCTTTTATCTCTTTTAGGTGTTGTAGTAAATGGCCTAATAAATATTAGCATTTCCACTATTGAGAAGCGCTATGAAATGAAGAGTTCCCTGACGGGCCTGATATCATCAAGCTATGATATCTCATTCTGTTTGTTGTCTTTATTTGTATCATACATTGGTGAAAGAGGACACAAACCAAGATGGCTTGCATTTGCGTCCTTTTTCATAGGACTGGGAGCACTTGTATTCTCATTGCCAAAATTTTTTAGTGGAAAATACGAATTGGGGTCCCCTTTTGAAGGTAAGTTTCTGTTGTGTTTTTGTTTGTCTGTTTTACTTTAAGAAGCAGCATGAGACTAGGTCATCATCTCTATATTGCAACTCACTTGTCCACGTAAGTAGGGTAAGGGCTTAATTCTCTTCCATGGTTCACTGCTTTGTTGTGATGGGAATTGTGTGAAGCCGGAGATTACAGAGACAGATTGTTCATTATTCATCACTTCACTGGTTCTCCAACATTTTAATCCTCTGATGCTCATTGCCCATGTAACACACAGTCCTTCTTGAAAAGTAACGACCTATTTTCTTTTGCGGTTGTGATCTCACTGGTATTCTGAGATCTGTTGTTTTTCCATTTGTGGTTTTATTTGCTGTGCTTACAGCTCTGTACCTGGACTTGTTGATTCCTGATTTGAGATCAAGAAAGGTGAAACTTATAGGAGAACTGAAGCTTTTCCTAAGAACTGAGGCTGGCTAAGCCACTTATGACTCTCTGGTTTAGAGCCATAGAACTTTGTGAGTTATCTAACATATTGCTCTGGTTAGATGAAGAAACACTATTCTGAGGCTCAAAAAAGAAATTTGATTACTTATTTTTCTACTTCTTTTTCCCCCAAAGAAACATTTTTAATGGGAAAACAATTATGGTAAAGCCAGAGGAACGTGCTAATGAAAGTAGACCTTAGCATTTCTGTTGTCCTTCCTGAGACTTTTAATAGCAAATATAGAATAAAATCAGAGGGGCTACAAAATCAAAAGCTTTGAGGGTCTAGGTAAGTGAAGAAAAGGCTTAGAATAAGAAGAAAGGAGAACTTGGGCCTGCTGCAATGTAGGCATTGTTTTTAAAAAGTTAAGATTGTTATATTTGTGAGTATTGAAATGGAAAATTAATATTAAAGTGTCAAGATTTACCAAGACCAATTTCCCAGCTATAGAATGATAACAGATAGGAAAATATTTTCAATAACAAAGTATATACAGTAATACCTTGGTTTGCAAGCATAGTTCATTTCTGAAACAAACTACTCGTATTGCAAGACATCGCTCGTTTACCAAGTTAAAATGTATTAGAAATGCTTGTCTTGCAGAACACTTGCAAACCAAATTACTCGCAATCCAAGGTTTTACTGTATTATGCAGCATGGTTTTAGGAGTGCACTTATTACAACAGCATACTTCATTTTGGAAATAAAAATAGAATATGCAAGCATGTGGACCAATAGAGGATTTTTTTTTTTAATTGGGGAATTGGGGAATGGGAACAGTGCTGGGGAATTGGGGGAAGGGGAACAGACAAGTTGCTGTCCTTTTGTTCTTCAGTCTAGTTGTGGAGGATGTTGCTTCACTGGCCCAAGTTGGCACCATCATTGAGCTCTTCCTGGGTAAGGCAGATCAGTCGCTGGCTTCTGGACAGCTGTTCACAGCGGCTGCTGCCCACTCACGTTGGCTACTGGCTACACAAGGTAGCCTATGGCAACCCACTGCAGCAGGGGCTGCAGCTTATGCTGTTGCCGGCAACTCACGGCAGCCCAGCTCCGGTTGAGCTGTTGTTCAGCATCTTAGCTGTGGAGGGCAGTGTCACTGGCCCTCATATGTGGGATCCGAACCGGGGGCCTCTGGTGTCCCAAGCCAGCTCTTAACCAACGCGCCACTCGGCCGGCCCAATAGAGGATGCTTTTAAAATGTGGTACAGTTTGGAATGAATGAGATAAAGAGAGTATGCTATCAGTGGAAAGAGCACTTGTTTTGAGTCTAGTACATTATTTAAGATTGATCAAGATTTCAGAAGGCCATGTTCACATAATTTCACCGTGGGTAGTTTCAGGAGCTAGGCTCATTGGCTTTAGTTTAACACCTTTGAAATCTTAACAGTCAGGGAAGATCTAAATTTTAGTTTGTCAGAAAACATAATACTGATTCTATGGTAGTAAAAATGTTATTGTGTTTCTAGCAATTAGGAGTTTAGCTTTGTATTGAATCTAACCCCTCACCCTTGGAGTTGATCAGATGCTCTCTTTGTTTATAGATTTTATAGAGTATGTAAACTTTGATAACACATCTCTGACCCTCTAAAACCTAATCACCTATTCCAGTAAAAAGCCTGGTCTGTCCTCAGCAATCTTCTTTGCTTCATCTCTTGCCATACACATCTTGAGCTGCAACCAATCTGAACAATTTATGTTTCCCAATGGGAAATGGCCGTACATTCAGGTGTGTGTGTTTGTGGCCTGAGCTGAAGCCAAGGAGATTGCTGAAGCCAGAATATATACTTTTTGCACATTATTGGATACTGTGCAATTTTTCACCAAATTCTTATTGATATTTTTTATTATGTTAGGTGAAGTAGATTAGATAGAGGTATTGGCTGATCTGTAGAGTTTTTACTCTAAGACTCATCATTTAAATAATAGCCTATCTGAAACAAATGAAAGCAAAAACTCAGGTTGCCCATATGTTAGTTTGTCATTCATACAATGAATATTTATTGATAGGAACTATACATGTTGCTGAGATAATAGCAGTGAAACATTTTCCTGCCATCAGGATTTTAGGTACTAGTGGGATGAAATACGAAATTAATAACCAAATAAAATAATTGAAGATTGAGGTGAGTGTGTGAAAGGACTGCATATTATGAAGTAATAGTTTACAAAAGGGAAAATGTGGTCAAAGGGAAGGCTATTTTGATAATAACTGGACAATGAGGAGCCAACTTTGGAAGATATTTTCCAGGCTGGAGAAAAACATGATCTAAGGCTTTGGAGCAATAAAGAGCTTGGTAGGATCTCGGGGTTGTCAGTTTTGGCCAGCATGGCAGAATATGGCTCAGGATGCGCTTGGAGAGACAGGTGGAGCCATGAGGTCCTCGGATTTTCCATTAAATGCAATGGGAAGTATGAGAGAGTTTTACACAGGGACGTGCAAGATCTTATTTAGGTTTTAAAATGATCATTTCTGTTGTCCTGAGGTACAAGATTATGGGAGGAAATTGCTCAGGAGGTTTTTCCTATAGTCTAGGTGAGAGATAAATAAAGGTGGTTGAGACTGGGCTGGTAGCAGTAGACTTCTAGAGGAGTGACTGATTTTCAAAGTATTTTAAAGGAACAAGAGATAAGACTTTCTAGTGGGTTGATTGTGAAGGAGAATTGAATGATGACTCCTTGCTAGTAGGCTTGACCAACTGGAGCCATTTACTAGACTATGGGACTAGGTCACACAGAATTGGGAGTGGAAATCAAGAATTCAGGTTTGGACTTAATTATGCACTGCATAGTATATATTCAGTGTTGCACTATATATCTTTGAACACATATGTTTTATGTAAATGTGCCAGTCATTCTTTAGTCTTAATCCCCAGAAGTACAAATACTGGGTTTGAAGGGTTTCTTCAGCCTAATTTTTCATAGATAATGTCACATTGACTTTTAGGAAGGGATGTACTACTGTGTTTCCCCGAAAATAAGAGCTAACTGGAAAATAAGCCCTAGCATGATTTTTCAGGATGTTCGTAATCTAAGTCCTACTCCAAACATAAGCCCCAGTTAAGATCGTCAGCCAGACATGACTGTTTGAATAAATGTAGATTTTTGTACATGAATGAATGAATAAATATAGATTGTTGGAGCCAAAATTAATATAAGACCCAATCTTATTTTCGGAGAAACATGGTAGTTACTCTCCCACAGTCAATATAAGAAATGCTTAGGTGCTATTTTGAATTTATTTTATTATTATTTTTATTTTTTATTATTTTTTTTATTGGGGAATTGGGGGGATGAGAACAGTGCTGGGGAATTGGGGGAAGGGGAACAGACAAGTTGCTGTCGTTTTTGTTCTTCAATCTAGTTGTGGAGGATGTTGCTTCACTGGCCCAAGTTGGCACCATCATTGCGCTCTTCTCTGGCGAGGCAGATCAGTCGCCGGCTTCTGGATGGCCGCTCACTGCGGCTGCTGGCCGCTCACACTGGCTGCTGGCTACATACGGTAGCCCATGGCAACCCACTGCCACAGGGAGTGCAGCCTACGCCGTCGCTGGTGACTCATGGCAGCCCAGCTCCAGGTTGAGCTGTCGTTCAGCATCTTAGCTGTGGAGGGCAGTGTCACTGGCCCTCATATGTGGGATCCGAACCGGGGCCCTCTGGCATCCCAAGCGAGTTCTTAACCATCGCGCCACTCGGCCGGCCCGCTATTTTGAATTTTTACATTCTTTTTTTTTTTTCCTGAAAGTTTCCTTTAATAAAGTACCATTGTGGTGTGTTTGTGTATGTGTGCAGGTATTTACAATATAATCAATATAAAACTCAGGACTGAAATTGCATTATATAGCTAAAAGAACTCAGATATTTAGAAGCATAAGGAATGTTAGAAATCACAAATCCCCCCCTTTTTTAATAAGGTAAAACCTTAGGATGAGGTGAAATGACTTAATGATTACATACGTGGTTAATAGCTAAAACAACTTTTTATATTTTATTTAATGTTTGTTCAAATTTTTATTACTCATACTAGGTTTTTTTTTTACTGTATTGAATAATTTCAATATTTTTATGAATTTAAACCACTTTTCCCCCAATTTCAAATAGCCAGTTATAATGGTTTGTGCTTTCTTTAAAACATAATAACTTTTCGGCTCACGTGGATTAATCCATTTTACAAATATGGGATCCTGTAACCAAAAATCTGAATTATTTGTCCAAGTCTATGCATGTAGAAGAAAACTGGATATTTATGTTTGAAAAGGAAACAAAGAGCTGAAAGCTTCCTGTGAATAAGAAATAAGGAAATGTACAATCTTCTTATGTAACATAACATACATAGCCTAAAGAGAATACCATTAAGAAATTATTTTATTCATTGAAATCATACATGTATTTTGATTTGAAACTGACGTTTAGAGAATTAACATATTCCCTGTGTGCTTTTTTTTGTTGTTGCTTTTGTTTTTGAATTTGAGGGAAATCCAAGTCAGGGCTCAGTTTGGATGAGATTTCTCTGCAAGAGGAGATTATAGTATTATATAGT